CCTCAGATAATATAGTTGATTAGGCTATATCTTCCGAGTTTTGACTATATGTCTCTAAGTCAACTTGTGTTGCCCAACAATCGTAATTATTTTGTATTGTCCTAGTGAAACTGATTTTAATATGAATGCAGGCACGTATACTTTGTTAAATATTTTATTATTTAAAAGTATAAACTCTTGGTTAGAGTATTTTTAATCCCATTGTATGTATAGTATGTATATCTTTTATGGGTTGATATACTTAATTCACTATAAACAATGCTCTGATACCAATCTGTCACACCCCAAAACCGAGAACGGCGGAAACGTTATGGGGGCGGAGGACGTCATGTACAGTATCACAACCATGAATAGTAGTAAACAAGCAACAACATCATCCATTGCATTAATAATATAATTTTAATACAAGTGTTCTGACATGTTTAATAGACACTAAAGTATGAATCAAAATGAACAATGAGTCTTGAACGAGCTCCATCTTCTCTAAACCTTGCATCGGTACCTGTCTACTGTTGACCGGAGGATACAAGTTATTTTGAAAGAGAGTATCAGCTTTAAAGTTGGTGAGATCATAAGTATTTTAGTTTTTGTATTTGTAATAATGTATTTGTAAGAATGTATTTGTAAGACTGTATTTGTAAGACTGAGTATGTAAAAGTTTTGAATAACCTAGAAAACCCTATGCTTCCTACTAAAAGTAGCCTTCTACCAAGGCATCTAGTATCTAACTGTGTCTATTGTAAGAGTGTGTATTTTCCCAAATTTAACTATTATTAACCAAAAATATAGTATTTACATTACCGTGAATCGTGTGAATGTTCACGAAGTGAATGTAATGGGGAAATAATAAAGTACTGTAGTTTGATAATAAGGGACTACTGATGTACTAACTACCTTAAACCAAATGAAATTTAAAGTAACATGTGATTGGCTTGTATCCTGCTACCAACTCAATAGTAAAACGACGATGCAAGACGCCGTAAGAAATGACATTTGGCACCCGTAGACTTGCAAGTCCCACTGTAGCGAGCATCAAGGTGTAGGATAGTCAATCCAGTATAGATCTATATGAAAACTCATACGCTCCCCAATTAAGGAGATTCTGGATACAAAAATAGTTATGGAAGGTAGTGCCATGACCCGTTTAATGGCTCACATAACTGAATGTAATGTATATGTAATGTATGCTAGCTGTATTGTATGTTCTCCCTCTGTCTAGCCTGTATGTTCTCTCTGTATAGTATTGTGTGTACTAGCTGTATTGTGTGTTCTCTCTATCTAGCAAGTATTGTAATGTTCTGTGTGTACTAGATGTATTGTGTGTTCTCTCTATCTAGCAAGTATTGTAATGTTCTGTGTGTACTAGCTGTATTGTGTGTTCTCTCTATCTAGCAAGTATTGTAATGTTCTGTGTGTACTAGTTGTATTGTGTGCTCTCTATATCTAGCAAGCATTGTAATGCTCTGTGTGTACTAGCTGTATTGTGTGTTCTCTCTATCTAGCAAGTATTGACTCATGCATGAACTGACTCTTTGTATGATTCATTGTTCTAGTATTAGTATTAGTAAAACCCTAAACTACGGCTATTGTAGCTTATTAGTAATATAACTTATACGTATGAACATAGAAGTATACCCTTGCTACCCAAGGGTATTGAATTGATTCGAAGAACCTTTATGACTATATATGTACACATGATATATAACTAATAGTTAAACAAACTTCGGATGGATACCCGATATCCTACCAGACCACATCCCAACATGGAAAAGGAAATAAGGCGGGTTAGCCTTCCTAAGTCCTTCAAACATTACTTATATAACTATACATATCTAGGCATGCAATTGATAATATAAAAGTATAAAAGAAGTTTTGTAAAGCCTTTGAAAAGCTTTTTAACTAGGAAAAGATGACTTGATGTCAGTTTGTAAAACAGTTTGAAAACAGTTTATTTGATAAGAACAGTTTAAAGTATAATGAAACCTTTGTTTTGGAAACACAATCGTAACAGAGTTTTGAAGAGAAACATTTAGTATGTAAGATAGTTTGATAAAGAGTTGTAAACTAGTAAAAATGTTTTGGAAAGTCATTTGAAGTAATTAGTTTGGTAAAACCGCTAAAAGTGTAGTAAATCTATTTGCATGCTAGTTATCAATCACATTTGATTGATATAATAATTAACATGATTCAACTTGTATCCCCCCATAAAAGCATTTAAAAACATTTAAAGGATAGATTAAGGGGTATGAACTCACCTGTAGCAAGTGGTTGGGATGAACGGACTGTATAGGACGCAAGGTGTCAAGTGAAGACTTGTACACACTCTATGATCCTATTTAACATATAATATCACATATATGTAACCAATTAGCCTTTAAACAACTAAATAACAAGGTTAAGACATCCTAAGACATGTTAAAAACTTTATATAAGTGTTATAAGTGCTAAGGAGTGCATCTAAGTGTTGTAGGACAAATCTATTGAGCTTAGGGTTCAAGGGAACCCCTAAAATGAGTTTACTCCCTAAAGACCATCACCCCTTGAGTTTACAGTCGTAAACCCTTGATTTTACGACCGTAAGCTCATAATCTTTTGACCATTTGATGGTTTGAAGTCTTCTAGGCCATTCCAAGCATTCCTACTTCATGTTTAAGCCTTATGAAATGTTTTGTGGAATCAATACACTCCTTGATGGAGTTTACGGCCCATGGACCATTTCTCCATGAGTTTGCTACCGTAAAATCCTATGGACTAAGGTATTTTGATGTTTTCAACTCCCAAACACTTTATGGTAAAAGTCTAGGCTTGATTCAAGGCATAAGGAAGGAACATGGGCCATTTTTACACACCTTTGGGGTGTTTACGGTTTTGGGAGATCCCCAAACCGTAAAAACATATAAATGAGTCATTTTGGTGGTTTTTATGTGCTAAACACATCAAGGAAGGGGTCTAAACTAGTTACCACGGCTTAGGATAAGCTAGGGCACACATTGGCACTCTAAATAGGGTTTACGGTCCATGGTGTTCTTGGACCGTAAAAACCTTTGATCTTGGTCTTCTTGGATGATTTCTTGAGGTATAGAAGTGTAACAAAGCTTGTAAGACTCTAGGATTGAAGCACTTACAAGTTAGAAGCTCGAAAAGGTCCAAAAGGCCAAGAACACAAGTGTGTGTTCTTGATGTAAATTGAAGATTGACCCTTTTTGAATGATTTCACGGTTAGAAGTGTGTTAAAACACTAGATTAAGCCATATAATAACTTAAGAAGGCTAGAAACACTTACTAGATCGAAGATCTCAAAAAACTTTTGGATGATACTTGAGAGAGAAATGGGTTTGGATCTTGAGATTTTTGGAAAAAGTGTAAATAATGACTAACACTCATATATATACTCCCAATTTTAGGGTTTTTGGCAGAAAATATTTTATTTAGGCAGTAAATCCTAATTTCTTAGAGTATTGGAATAACAGTGCTGCACAATAACCCTAGGGCATCCTCTCTCCTGATATCACTCGAAGTGTAAATCCTAAAAATACTCAAACTTGTTCCAAAAAGTTTGAAACTTTGCAGCAACTTTTCTAGCTTCTATTGTATTGAAGGTTTGTACAGAATAGAAATTTCGGGTTGTCACAAGTTTTATCCTCAACAGTAATTATCTTCGCAGGTGGTAAAACAGACCCATTAGCGTGGTTCATTACCTTTTGATATTTTATTTCATAACAAGTAGTTGAATGAATTGAGTTTTGTGATCATGTGGATAATTCTATCAGATGACTGAGAGGAAGACATGTTGAACTGAGCGATTGAAGAAAAAGAAAAAGAAAAGAAAATAGGGTGCAACTAGGGTTGAACTGTGATAGGGAGAAAGAGAATGGAATTTGCCTAATTAAATGGTTGATACCATATAAACGTAACAATTCTCATCACCAATTAGGTGAGATGAAGGCTATATATATATATATATATATATATATATATATATATATATATATATATATATATATATATATATATATATACTAGTGAATTTTAAACGATCTCACTAAGCACGACCCACAAAGGGTATTTTAGGAAATTAAAAATGATGTGTAATGTATGGTCTTGAAAGATTTCAAATGAGTTCAATTTTGCTGATTAAAGAAATGAAAATAACAAGTTATATAATATTTTTTCCCCCTTTTTTTAACTGACTAATTGAATGTTAGGAAATAATGATGAATCAAGGATTTGTTTCCATTAGGGACACAATACTACTAAAAAACCGAGGCATTACTAGAGAAAAAAAATTTGTAGAAAGTATCGATGGATTTTCGATGAATAAGAATTAGTATAATATTTTACAAATCATTAAGCCATTATAGATATTGATGCAACTAATTCACATGGCTTGTTTGACTTCATAGAATAACAACTATTTTTACTTTGTTTCGTCTCTAGGGACATGATATGGTACTATCATATTTAACAAATAAAGATTTTTTTTTTTTGCCACATGTCAATCTCTAATGTATTTGGAATTTTATTGTCATACTTTAAGTTCACTATGGTTTATGATATTGTTTTGGATAAATGCTTTATTAATATAAAAATCAAAATTCTTGGTCTTAAATCAGGACATTACTATATATATATATATATATATATATATATATATATATATATATATATATATATATATATATATATATATATATATCAAATTTGATTTTAAAAACAGCAAAATAACAAAAAGAGAAGTACATTGAGAAATTCTATAGATTAGTGGTATATACAACTAAGTGACTAACAACTGCACTCCATTTCTATATTCTGTTACTTTTCCTTGGTTAATTAATTATATTGTTCATTTTATTTTTTTCATGATTCCATTTTATCATTGACAAACATACCTAAATATTGCAACAAATGTAAAATATAGAAAAGCAGAAGGTACTCTCACAATTTTATATATTTAGCTGTTTAACTATATTTTATAGAGGCTAAACCAATATAATTTTTTGATTACTTTTCCCGGTTTTGAAAAAAGTCTGTAATAAAGAAAAACACAATATATTTTGCTATTTTATCATTTTTGCTGGGTAAATCCATAAATGGTAAAATAAAAGCCTTTTATGTATATTGCCCTTATAAGAATAAACATGTACATTTCATGTTTCTATAAGAATCTGATTAGCTTCTAACAAGAAACCACTTAAAATGGTCATGTAAAGCCAATGGTTTTATCCAACAACCACAAAGCAAGAGATAGTTGAATTGCAAAGACCGTGTTTATAGACATCCGATCTAACATGAACCCGTACACCGTGATCCCAGTTTCATTGTTCTCGATATACGTCACTACAACACACGATCAATTATCATTAATAGCCAAGTCCTATAATGTATTAAGGTCATGTTTGTCACACACAATAAAGTTTGAACTTAACAAATTTTGTAGGAATTTTTTTAAGTTGAAGATAATGAGGGTACTCATATCTTTTGCACAGATCAAGAGCGACTCATTACCCCATCTTATATTTTTAGGTGGGATAAAAGTTGTAAATTTGTGTCCCACTACATCAGTCCAGACAAACACAAACAGACTACAAGGCCATATAGTAACAATATGAATAAATTCACCTAAAGCTTGTCTTTGCTGGTATGATATCGAGTGCTTATAAACAGGGATGAACTTTGTATTGTCTAGTTCATCGTCACCATCTCCTACCTCATTATCGAAATCTAAATCCGCCATTTGTGGATTGATATTTGACCTCGGAGTCTCATCCGTGGTGCCCATGTCTATGAAGGAATCAATGGTTGCACATATATGCCATTTGGTTACCAAGCTTGTTAAAGATTGCGCTTTGTGTGTGATTTTTGCCGCACTTCGTTGGCATATATACATACCAAATAGAAGGGTAAAGGAGCATAACTGCACCCATCATTATATATCATGATCATGTTTTATTGCCATGTAAAAGTAAACTGGATTTTCGTATAAACTTGTTATATTATATATGAAAACAACATATAGTTTTAACTCTATTTTATATATAATCAAATCTTTTTTTTTTTTTTTTTTTATCTTAATAAAAGTATATTATAAAAACCGATAGGAATAATATTATGAAAAAATTTATTTTCTATTTAATTTAGATGACAAAATTGCAATTCAACTAATATCACGATTTTATTTTATTTTAAAATAAAAGTGTCCTTCAAAATCACATAAACGGTATGAGTTATATAACAACTTTTCATTGCATTAAATGATAATAAAAGATAATCACAACCCAAATAGGATTATAATAAAATATATTTCTAGTTATTTAGAAAAGAAAGATTTATTTAACTAAGAATTACTACAAAATAAAGTGGGTTATATTGCCTTTTCATTCAATTCCACGGCGGATTGAAAAAAAAAAAAAAAAAACTGTGTCTAAATACTTAATTAACAAAACCGTACTTTTTTGAGAAGATTGAAAATTAACAAAATGTAAGGAAACATGTTTTTCAAGAATGGTAACTTCATTTCATTCCGTTAACGAATATTAAAAGTTTATTTATTTATTTATTTTCATGAACCAATTCTTTTATTTCTTCATTTAGTCATACCAAACACTACCTAATTACTAATAGAGAAATAGGAATTACCGCAAGTTCTCCGGTAGTCAACAGGTCAACAACCGAACCATCCACCGTCGTAACAAGCAATGAAGCAAATTGACTTGCAGTAACCAAGATCAATGTAGCCAAAATGAACACACGAAACCTATGGCTTATAACTCGAAGATTTCTTCTAATAGTGAGGTGTTCAACCAATATTGGAACCACATCACACAACTTGTCAAACACTCGAGCAAAATCGTCTAACCTAAGAATTTGTAAAGAACATGTGAGTTTAAAAAGAACACACACAAGTAAAAATAACGATGTCCGATATAACCAAGAACTCATGTGCAACGTGCATGCCATTGCATGGCTAAAGTAAACGTTGTAAAAGTAGGGTATCTTGATTCCACCGGATATGAACCACCATATGTTGTAAATAGTGTCCGCGAGAAAACATGGTAGGATAAAAGTATAGAGAAGTGTCGTAGATCTCTGCATGAGGTGAGATGCATGTGGTGAGAGAAATACTTTACTTTTTTTTCTCGTAATAGCAACATATTTATATTTCTTTAATCGATAATAGTAATATACTTATACTTTTTTTAATACAAAACAACACTTTATTTACAATTCTTTACTCATAACTATTACAATATGTAACATATAAGTACAATGCTTGATTTGTAACGAATATAATTGTTAGAAATTTAGGTGTAGAAAGGCTTGGAAATTCTGAGAATTATGATTATCACTTTCAAATCGAAGTATTTGGTGGTACTCCCAAAACTTCAATTGGATAAAACTCAGAGAGACAAGAACCGAGAATGTTTGATGATATTTTCGTATGTACCATAAAATGAGACCAAAACTAACTTTAATATCTTTGTCTGAAAACTGTCATATGACAGTTTTAAACTGTCATAAAACCATAAAAACTGTCATAAAAATGGATATATGGATAAGGATCAAACCAATGGTCGATCCCAACCAGGGGCTGTGCCCCTTGGACCCCGCTCCCAAGGGCGCTGCCCCCGGACCCCCGTTCGTTCAGGGGCTTCGCCCCTAAATGACAGTGTACTTTGAAACTTGATCAAACTTAAACAAGTGTGTACTCCACACCTTCCTTACTTGTTTAATATTTATCAAGATCATTTTTGGTCAACACAAAATAATCTCATTACACTTAAATAACATTGATGATTAAAATCACACCAACAATAATTCACATGTTGCTATTATACATAAGAAAAAATTGCATTGCTATTATCAGTAAAAAGTTCTAAGTACTCTGTTATTATTGATCATAGATAACATACGTTATCATACTAGTAGCAAAAGTAAAATATATTGGTATTCCTCATAATTTTCCTTAATGTAAACTCGTAAACGCTTCTGTTTTTAATTATGTGAACTTTTCACCAACCAAAATGTATTCTTGGGTTCACTTTGGACTCGTGAGACAGCCTTATGAAAGTAGTGGTCCAGGATGAACAAGTCCATCCATTTCAAAATACGTCAGTCCTTCAAGACTTAGCACAATGACTTAACATATAATTAACAACTACATGTATTTATCATCAAATTTCTTTCATTTTTAATCCTAGTAAGTTATTAAAACTTTAAACAATTAAACTTATAGGAAAAATGAGTCACGGATTTCCTAGATTCCATTTGCTTAAATAAATACTCCATTTTGTATTCTTAGTCACTCAAAAATATAATAATTTTCTTTTCAACGACTTACACTTGACTTTTATTAGTTATTACAATTGAATTTTTTTGCATGGATAAATTATTTTTAACAAACATTCGGGAAATGAAATATAAAACACTTGTAACCATAAGATTTGCTAGAAACACTAGTATTCCTATTAAATAATTTGACTTTAATATTACCAACTTTTCAAACATAGTTTTCAAAACATCAAATTTTATAAGTAGTAGGTGCTAAATCATTGTCCTGATGCCTTTTTTTGCCACTTTTATCACTTAAGTTTAAAAACATGACAAACTCGCCCCTAGCTTATGGTGAATATACGATGTTAATTACAAACAAAAGTCCTAAAAGAAAGGGGAAAATTGGAAAAGCTATCCATGGCGTGATGCTTGTCCCAATAAGCAACATTAAAAAGCAAAAGTTAATCAAGAAACGTACATGGAGCTCCTCCGAATACCGCCGGCGAACTTTATCACTAACAGCGTCCAATTCATCAAGAAACAAAAACCGCCGGAGACCATACTTCCGAGTAAACCGCCAGAGACTAACGAACGAGAGCGTCGAGAAAACAGAGAGGGACACTTGAACGATCAAATCGAAGGGACGGCGGTGATTGTAATCACAGGCGGAGCACTGGAAGGCGAAGTGAGAGAAAACTGGAGTTAGAAATGTTAGGAGGAGGAAGAGGATCCATGAGGCTGTTGCTCGCCATGGGTCATGGTGATCTGCAACGAAAATCCATGAGAAGGCTCTGGATTCGAGCAAATCGATAATCGAAAATTGGTTTGAATTAAGCTGCGGAGGATTGTCCATGGGGAGCGAGAAGCGATCGATGAAAACGGAAGAAAGTAGACTAGTGGAGCATTTGATTTATAATGGTAGTGTGGTTTTGGGTAATCCCAATTTTTGGTTTTTAACATTATATTTGATAAAACTGCAAATTTTGTCCTTCAGCTATATAAATTTTTTTTGGATAGAATTCAAAAAGTTTTCAACATAGACCATTCAAAATCAAAAATTTAGTGTGATTTTTGTTCAAAAAAAATTTGAAAAGACAGTTTTATTCTTTTATTTTATTTTTTGTATTTTTTATAATCATTCTAATACTTTTTTATTTAAAAAAAAAAAAGAATATCCCCCACCCCCACCTACCCCTACTGTTCTCTCTCTCTCTCTCTCATCCTTTTTCTCAATTTGTTATGATTCTCATCAATATGAGCTTTCAAACAAGAACCAGTTGTGAAATGATTATTAAAATCTGGAAGAAGTAAGAAAATCAAACCCAATTATATGTCTGTGTTCGATTTTGATATGTTGTATGTGAAAATGGTGATATTCTGGAAAAAGGTGTGGGTCGGACTAGAGTTTGTGGGCAAAAAAATTGAAGAACAAGAAGTTCAAAAGTGAATCCTACCCCAAGATGAAGCATCCCACCATCTCCTATTTCTTTCCCCCACCATTTTTTAGAAAGCCATATCTACAAGTTTTTCTTTCAATTTGAATCTGCATTTGGATCGAGATTTGCAGGTGTCACACCCCAAAACCACGAACGGCGGAAACGTTAAGGGGTGGAGGACGTCATGTACAGTATCACAACAGTGTAATATAATAAACAAGCAACAACATCATCCATTGCATTATAAGTAAAGTTTTAATACATGTGTGTTCTTTCATTGCAATAAGACACCAAAAATATACAATCAAAATAAAAGACGAGACTTGTCAGCTCCGTCTTCTCAAAACCTGGCCTCCGTACCTGTCTACTGATGACCTGAGAATACAAGTTATTTTGAAAGCGAGTATCAACATTAAAGCTGGTGAATTCATAAGTATTTAAGTGTCATTGTCTTGTTTGCTGAAAACTATTTTAAAGGTCATGCAAACCTTTAAATGTAAATGTTGATGTAAGTATGAAAAACCCTAGAAAATCCCTTATTTTCTATCAGTGTGAGATGTAGTCTTCTACCAAGACCCGAATGTTTTGTTAGTAAAATGATAGTTTTTCCTTTAATTGTTTAGTACTAAAGTACTTAGTCAAACTCATCGTTTATGTGAAAGTATCACAAAATAAAGTAAACAGGAAAATGTACTACTATAAGTGTTATCACTGGGTACTAGGACCAACACAACGTCGCGTTAAGCGAAAAATGCAACCTAATGAACATCCGAAGATTGTCCAAAAAAAGTAATAATGTAAGTGTCATCGTTGGGTACTAGGAGTAACACATCATCGCGATAAGCGAAAGGTATAACCTTATGAACAATCGAAGATTGTCCACTTGTCCTCTGTAGCAGCAGCAGGTGGGTGGAGGGGTTAGCCCCGGTTATCGATCTTCCTAATATAAGCAGTAACCTTAGACCTCCGTAGATGGTCATCGACCACTGGTGCTAATCAGTGGGGTTCGGAATGGTAAGTCCCACCTAGATATCCCATTGAACCGGGATAGGAAAGATAATTTACACAGAAAGTACTAATAAATTATCCTCGTAGTTCTAAGTACAAGTATCCAAGTAAGTGAATACAGGATAATGCACCTATGTAACAGTGTTCCTGTATGATATTCATGTAAGTGTGTTCATGTAATAGGTAAGTATATGTATATGTACTCATGTATCAGGTAATGTACTAGTATAGACTCATGAATGAACTGACTCTTGTGTGATTCCTTGTAATAGGAGTGATGTTTGATATCTTCAAATTATCCCTATGATAACTTACTGAACTATAATTGGTTGATCATGTAGGTTTATACACTCTTACTATTCAAGGGTGTGGGAAGAAAATGAAAGATGTAAACTATAACATCAATACATATATAAGAATATAAGTGTATATGCATAGTTTAGTTCAAGAATGTAAAAATGGTTTTGTAAGACATCTTATGGGTTTTGAACAATAATTAACAATGACTTGATGTCATTTTAATAAACATTTCAAAAAGTAAAACATTTGACAACAACGTATTTTTAAGATTTAAAACCATTTCATGCATCACATTTTGTAGTATGTGAAATCTGTTGAATGACAAACACAGTTATAAAATACATATCAATGATTTTATAACATGTTTGTTTCTACTTGTATCCCCCCCCCCCTTTAAAGCATTTAAAATCATTCAAAAAACATTGATTAGGGGTATGAACTCACCTGTAGTTGGTGATTGGGATGAACTGAACGGTATAGGATTGTTAGGTGTCAAGCGAGGACTTGTACACACACTACGATCCTAATGAACATATAATCACACATATATGCACTCAATTAGTCTCAAATTACTAATTGATAATGTTAGGACATCCTAGACACAATTAAACACGTTATATAAGTGTTTTAGGCCCTAAGTATTGCATCTAAGCTAATCTGGGACAAGGCACTTGTGTTTTAGGGTTCCAAAGGACCCTATATGTGAGTTTACTCCCCATATACCATCACACATGGAGTTTACGGTTGTAAACTCTTGAGTTTACGGCCGTAAACTCCCAACCATGGGGTTTTGGTGTGTTTTGAAGTCCCTAATGATTCATAGAATTATTCCAACTTGGTGGCTAAGTCCTTGGAAGGGTTTAAGGTCTAGAAACACTCCATTTAGGAGTTTACGGCCCTAAGTCCATTCCCCTTAGAGTTTACGGCCGTAAACTCTAATTATGGTGTGTTTTGGATGATTTCAAGTCTCATGCACAAGTGGTATAATTCCTAGGCATTTGTTTAAAGCTAATAGGGACCCTAGGCACACTTTGGTGCCCTTGCTTGGTGTTGACGGCCTAGGAGCATTACCAAGGCTGTAAACTCACTTCAAGAGGTGATTTTGATGTGATTTTGTCCTTCAATTAAGTGGGAAAAAATTCCATGTAAATGTCTAAAGCTTTAGGTGACTTAAAAGCACCATTTGGTCCATTTCCATGGAGTTTACGGCCTAAGATTACCCTTGGGCTGTGAACTCCCATGTGTTGGTGTTTCTTGATTGTTTTCTTGTCCTTAATACACATACGAATGAGTCTAAGACAGTAGCATAACACAAGGGTCGGTCTCGGCTTTGTTTCGGGAGTTTACCGCCCAAGAACTGTTGGATTAGTGTCTAAATCCATAACTATTTTGGTATGTACTTGACCCGATGGTGCATGGTCCTTTTGGGTTGCCTTCACCAAAGCAACTTGATTGGAGAAATGAATAAAGAGAGAGAGGATAATATGATTTATTAATATGTTATAAGAATAATATATTAAAGGAGAAATCATATTTGGTTAATTAATATTGGTCAATAATTAATTAAGAATTAGTTTTGTGATCAAATGTAATTAATTAAACTAGAGGGGCTGATTTGTAATTATGTGATAGTTACAAAATAAGGTAAGGATTATCTTATTTATATGGTGGACGAATTTAAGGTTGGAAAGACTTAGAATTCGAGTATGATAAGGATTCAAGGATTATCTTATTGGTTGCTTAATGGATAATCAACTAGATAAGGATAATGACTGAAACCCTATCTCTACACCTATATAAACACCCCTAGGGTCATGAATTCGTGTATCCCTTCCCAAGAGGTCCTAGATACGAATTCTAACCTCTCACCTCTCTCTTTATACCTTCTCCATTTGCTTATGGTGTTTGTAAGCCATTAGAGGAGTGACACTTGTGACTCTAAGCATTCCAAAGTCAATCAAGGTGGATTGTGATTGTTATTGCTATATAACAATCAAGGTATGTTCTTAAACCTAATTATATGTTAATGTCGATTTCCATATGTTAGAATTAGGGTTTATAGTCTTGGATTCAAAGCATGTACAATAGAGAAACCTAGATCCAAGCATTAGGGTTTGTATGAGCACATAGGATGTCTTATGACCAAAACCCATCAGTGGTATCAGAGCCTAGCTTGGTTTCAATTGTATTGATGCATTGTATAACTGGAAAATCGTTTTTTGGGCTTTATGGCTGAGGAACTCGGCGAGTACCACAGTGTACTCGGCGAGTAGACCTCAACTCGGCGAGTACAGTGTGGTACTCGGCGAGTTCGAGCGTCAGATAATGCTTATCTCGGGATTTCTTGCTGTTTTTGCATTGGATAGTTACCTTATCATGTTAGATCAATATAAATCCGATTTTATGATATATATGACTATATTCTTGATCTAATTAAAGATAATTATCAATTAACAAGATAATTGTTTCCTTATAAGATAATTGATTAATTATTTTGAGTAAATTGATAAATTGTTTTGCAAGAAATCATTAAATAAATCAAATATGGATAATTATGTGATTAAATGTTAATTTAAAATTATTTGTTATTTGATCCTTGTTGTTATGAAAGTTTCATATTTTCCCCTTTAGGTTTTATAGTTTAAATTTGAACCCAAAAGTTTTGGAGTTTTGAAATTTAAATAGTTAAAACCCTAATGTTTTGAAAAAGGTTTCAAAACTTGCCCTCAAGTTTTGGAATTTAAAAGTTGATTAAAAGGTTTAATTAGAAATGTTAAATTCTAAAACCCTAGTAATGTTTTGAAAAGTTCAAATCACACCCTTATGGTTTTATTAATTAATTAAGGAGTATAATTAAAAGAGGTTTAATAAATCCATAAAAGTTTAGGTTAACCATTTAATTGAATTAAAAGTGTAATTGTTAAAGTTAACCATATAGTATTTTAAAAGTATAAAATACACCCTATACTATATATATAACATTAAAAGTCTAACATTATATATATGTATGAGTAAAAGTCAGTCTTACCGTTAGTAGGCCTCATTCACGAAGCTGGTCTATAAGGGGTGTTTAAGGAAATTGCCTATAAAATGGCGATTGAATGGGTATCCACTCTTACCCACCGCACTCTTGACTAGTGGAGGGTCGTTAGCCGAACGGGTAGGATAGGACGAAACCTTCCATTATAAGTATAATGAAATACAAAGTAACTAAATGTTTTTCAAATTCCCAATCTTAGTTACTTAGG